TAGCCTAGAACTATCTGCAAGGTAGGTGGTGACTTATTTTAGAATAGTTCTTCAATACAGCAGCATTAAAAAAAATGAAAAAAAAAAAAAAAAAAGCATAAGCAAAGCAATTTTGCCCACTTTTTTTTTTTCAGTAAAAACACCTCAGTTTCTAGTGTAGGCAAGAGAAGGTTATCTACCTCCTTGCTTTTCTTACCTAAAAGAAAAAAAGAAAACACAAAAAAGACTGCACAACTAGTAACACAGAAAGCAGACAGTGTCTGTAGAGAAGCTATCCTTTTAAGTGCTTCTAAAGAGGGAGTTCCAAGCAATTTCAAAGCATAGTTCCAAACTTAAATCACCTTGACAATTTCTCCCCCCTTGCTACATTATTTTCTTCATCTTTGCTGCTATGGAAGATCCCAAAAAACAAAGATAACTTAATGACTGTATGCAAGAAGAGACCCTACATTTTCACCAGGGATTTTCCATTTGAGTCTCAGGCTTCTGGCCTATGTATGCACTGAACAGGTGAATTGCCTACACAATGACTCCAAATGTCCACATGTGCTGGATTTACCACTCATACAGTGACTTCAGAAGAGGTTTTGACCATAGCTGTACCCACAGTGATGAGGAAGAAATCACTGTCCTATGGGTTACTGAACCTCTTAGACTGAAGTAGGACATAATTAGGCAAAAACTCACTGAGTTCCTTTCCCTTCCCAAGTACCAGTCTGAGATAGTAATGGATGGAAACAGTAATAGGAGAAGGTAAGGCAGGGGCATGAGCTGATTCATCCAGGTGCTGGAAGCATGTCTATGTTCCATGAACATGCAAGAGCTGCAGCTCCTGCTGTGCTTCTACACAGATGTGAAATCGCCACCTTCTACTTTGGGTAAAATTTATAGATGGAAAAGTGGGAGGATGTCTGGGGAGAACCAGATGAACGGTAAACTTCACTGTACTTCTGCTACTAATATTCCATAAAATATTTTTACTTCCTTACAAACTCTGACTACCTAGTTTTGCATATTACAGTCTTCCCGTTAGGCTGTGATCTCTGACTTCCAGAATTCATTCAATGTCCCTCTTCATCCCTGTGATGTCTGCAAAAAGCTCACTTGAAGCCATTTTTATGCATCCATGGTACAATTTCCTGCACTAAAAGGGAGGAAGGCACCAGTCAGACAACACCACAGACAATCTTGCTTTGATTCACTTCCCTGCAACAAGTTTCCTACTTGCTCTGTGCAGCTGCTCCTAACCAGTTCCTTAAACCAAAGTGACTCAGAGTATGGTCTTGCATCCAAGATTGGCACCTAGTGGCAAATGCCAATGCTCAGTCCTTTTTTGGCAGATCAGCCGAACAACCAGCCCAGGAGGTAAAAGTGTAGTCTGGGTTCAGCACTTCGGCAAAGAGTGGCAGCTGGTAGGACTGAATGCATGGTGGAAAAAACATGTTATCCTCTTCTTCCTACAAATATTTCATCCTTGACTATACACAGGTGTTGTTAAACGAATAAAGTAAACATAAGAAAAAACAGAGATAAGCAATATTCATTTATTATTTTCAGTGGGAAAAAAAAAAGAAGATGAACATTCTTAAACAAAGGAAGGAATGTTTAATTTTATACTGACACCATAAGAAAATTTACTGCAAAATCTAATTTAAAAATTAAACTTTTTTTTTTTTTGACAGCACAGCAACATTTGATTTTTGTTATTGAATTAAAGGACTAGTAGCTGGTTATTTTATTAGGAGATCTTTAGTGCTGCATTTGAAGTAATCTGATTTATTCCACAATAGGGATACATGTATATATGTATTTTTCTTCTGAAAATTCGTAGTGAATTTCGGGGCAAAGTTGCTTCCAACAAAACTGGTTTAGCAATACTCACAGGTGGCAGCATAAACTTCATCAAAGGCAAGGAGATTGCCCCACCTTTCAGACTCTTGGCAAGAATTTCATTCAGGTTGCTCTGAAAGCTTCAGTGTAGTAAGTTGATTGCTAAAGGAAATGCTAAGTAATTACAGTCAGAGCTCATAAATTAGGAATTTACTGGTCTTCAAGACAAAACATGAAGTTCATTTTTTTTGCAAATATTTGGAGATTAAGCTTTGGAGATTACTGCTAAGTGTACCTTTTTTGTCACATGTAACTAAGTTACTGAAGGATCATTGAATGAATGCAAAACCACGAAGATGTCTTCTTTTTCTAAATCTTCAATTTAAACACATTGCTAATTGAAGTGTAGAAAGTGAATTTAAGGGATTTTTAACCAAGAAAACCCCAAGTTTTTGTAACAAAGTTGGTGATTTTTATTTTAATATGTGTTAATATCCATGTTTGCAGACAGAAGATGAAATGTATATAATGTAGAAGCAGCATTAAACTTCCTTCTATGACCATTGGCTCTCCAGGTCAAACTTTATTATCTTTCAAAGGGAAAACAATTTTCACTATTTATAAAAAGATTACCTATTCCATATAGTGAGATCCACATTCCATAAGTAAGTATTTTTATATAAAAATACTCATCCATCCATACAGCTATCTAATTTTGTTACGGGTGGGTTTCAGAGTTTTGGAAGGATCCACCATACAGGAAAGGACCCTCTATATGAAAGCATTTTGTATGCTCTGTGGTCATGAAAGCATGTTCAACAAATATGGCATTTTTGAAACATCTGATAAAAGAAAAAACCCACCTCATAACACATTGCAAGTTTATACCTTCCAGCTCTTTGTATTATGAAATGAATAGGCTTTCCTAGAGAACTTCTCAGTAGGCTCTGTTCCTTCTTGCAGACACTCAGAAAACAAAAACATCTTGGAAAGAGTAGTTTGCATATACATATTTCTAACAACCAATTTTTAATTTCAGGCCAACTAAAACATTTCTATTGATGATAAACCTTTTTTTTTAAAAGCATCAAAATGGCTTTTGACATACTACACAACAGATTTTTTTTAAAAAAACAATCAGTTATTAAGATATAAGCTCACTGATTTTATTTTGCTTGGAGGTAGAACAAACATAAATTATTAAGACAATTAGGTAACATGATGGATTTGAACACATGGTGCATTTTGCTGTTAACATGAACGCATAACTTCCATTAATGTCATTATGAGTTATGCATATACTGTGCAAAAAATAAAAATAAAATATGACCATAAGAAAAATGTTTCCTCCAGGACTAAAATCGTAATATTTTTATAGACATTGGGGTGGGCTTGGGGGGGGGGGGGGGGGGCAATCTTATATTTAGAAAGTACAATACAAATGCAAATCTTTTTCCAAACTTTAACACAGAAATTCTTTAGAGTAAATCTTATGTTTTCACATATTTGCATCAAGACAGGAGGAACTTCATGTTTATCTCCTTCCATCCAACTACCTTTCCTTCAGTGTACTTATGTAGTTCCCCGTTCGAAAAGACAAGCCAGATAATGAATAACATTAAGCTGCTATCCACTTTTATTCTAAACTTCCTTAAATAACTGAATTTATATAGGCACATGTAATGACAACTGAAGAAATTACCTAAAACTGACAACCGATTGCAGCCAGTAAATTAAAATGGATCTTGGCAATGTCAGACAGATGGGCCTAGAATGCAGAGTTATGTTTGAAACTTGAACATAATATAAGCATAGGAAATCATCGTGAATGTTCTTAAACACACACTGCATGCCTATTTAACTGGAAGCTAGCAGCCAAGAACTGTAATCACCCAGTATTAAATATTAAAATGATAAATAAAAGTTATGGTCAATGCTGCCAATTAATAAATTATCCTAAAATAAAGTAAAAGGAAGTAAAAATGATTATGTGAATTTGTCATTATTCTCATTATTTGTGCTCTCTGTTCAGTAATATTTTGCCATGTGATTTAATATGTATTGTTTTGTTCTCAAGAAACAGACCAATGCATTACACAGAAAATAAATGACTACTTGAAAAATGGTTGTTCTGAACATCTAGGTTATTGTAAGTGAATCAATATTTACATATTAAGAAAAAGCATATAATATTCAATACATCACATAATACTGCAATGCGTATGCGTTTCCAATTTTCTGTATAGATATACACCTCATTAAAGTCAAAAGCAGAAGTTTTTGTAATTTTACTGGGAACATTCATGGGTACATCACAGTGTTTCTTCACCTATGTTACACAGCAGCCATTATTAAAATCTACTTTTATAAAACTGTAGAAGCATATGTGGCCATTTGCCACTTTGTATTGTTTACAGCACTATTTTTATGATTATGCACCTCCCTTTAAAATGTAAGGATAACTATAACAACTTAGCTAAAGCTAAATACTTCTTAAATGGTTTTGTTTTTCTCTCACAATAAAATAGTTTGGAAATTATAACTGAGGATTTTATTTCTTGAACATTAATTATACGCTTACCAACCTAGACAAGTCATAATAGCATCAGCCCTTTTTGGCAAATGCCATTTTTAAACACATTTTAGAGCCTTAATATGCTGTAATTACACATACTTTCCTTTATCACGTATAGAAAGTCAGATTTAATTACAGGTCTATCTTCCTTTGCCAGTTCTGTACACATATACAGAAATAATGTGAACACAGATCTGTATTTGTATCTGTTGTTGTTTTTAACCCATTACATTCAATAAACTTTGCACCACTCACAAAGTTTATAAACATCTCTCTTTGCATTTGACACTAACAGGAACTCCAACACACAATTGTCACTGAAATACAGGGTCTTAAATCGTCTGTTTTTCATGGAAGTTACACTGCACTGGTATTTTACTTGCATGTAACAAATGACAGCTTTCAAAAAAAATTCTCATATCAATTGTTAAGTAATGAAATGACTTCTAAAATTAACACTCTTGCTTTATACCTTTTAAAAGGAATTTAGGTCGTACAACTATTGGAAAACCTTATATATAGACAAAAAACAGCTGAAAAAAAAACTCTTGAGAAAAAAAAACTATCTAGAAATAGAGAAACCAAATGCACTTACTTCATTTCTAGAATTTCTTCAAGCTGTTTTCTCCGCTCTATTCTTAGGTTAGCCAGATGTGCTTCCTTCTCAGCCAAAGACTGCTGTGTTGAGGCAAGACGAGCTTTGGTAGAATCTAATTCTTGTCTAGTCTTTTCCAATGCATTCATCAGTTCTTCTACCTAAAAGAAGGAGAACTTTTTAAGCTCTATAGTAAGCTTAATGAGTAAATCTTAAATCTATGTAAATACAGAAGAAAAAAAATCCACACACAACAGTAATTATTTTAAGTAAAAGGCTGTTCAAATCCATTCCTATTTTAAAAACTAACAAAATTAAATACAAATAATAATAATAATAATAATAATAATAACATCATAATAAGTAACATTTATACAAACCAGAACAAATACAAATTGCCAGAAATTTATTTAACCTGGAACACTGCCACGTAGAGACACAATTTTCTGCACCATTTATATTTTTATAATTCAGGGTGTTGGTAACCCATCACAATAGTAATTTCAGAAATTTTACATGCAGATAATAGATATGTACTTTAATATAAAAACGTAGCATGGTCATCCACATATTTTTCATCAGAAAATGCACATCCTTCTGCACTGGAACAGATTGCCTATGGAAGCTGTAGACTCTCCAAATCTTGACTGAATGAAACCTAGAGAATCTGATCATACTTTGAAGTTATCCCTGCTTTGAGAAGACATTTAGATTGCATCACCTCCAGTGGTCCCTTCTAACACAAATTATTCCCTGGTTCTGAACTTTAAATGTCTGTTATTGCTCTAATAACAACCAAGTTACTTTCCTCATGTCAACTATGAGAATCTCTGAAATATGGAATATGGGAAAGTCATGTGATCCCACTGTTTCTTTAGCATTGGTAAACATAACTGAATTTATTGTAAATTTCTTGCAGGAATTCAGAAAAACTTCCTGTTTTCAGAAAACAATATTTAGAAGTAAAAAAGTGTTTGCTATGCTGTATTAAATTATTTGAAGAACAAGCTGTAGAACAGAGACAACTACATATGTCACCTGTCTAGAAGCAGAAAAATCACAGAACCAATGGGAAAGAAATAGTTTCTGGTAAACAGGACACTTAAGTATGCTTTCCCACTACTCGTAACAAATGTTCAAATGATAGTTTTTCTTGAAGAGCAGCAAATAAACAACAGACTTCATTTACTTGTATAAGGTACAGTGATTTAAATAATGAATACTGTATTTCCTGTGTTTCTTTTTTTTACCTCCTTTGCCCAAATATTAACATTTTATAAATTAGCCAACACTTCAGGAAGACCTTCTAAATAAAAAGAAAAAGAAGAGAGGAAGAAAACTGGAACATACCCAGTTGTTCATGTTATACAAGTCATTGTAAAATGTTCATTTCTGCTGGTGTATTGAAAAGTCTAACAAAACTCAGCTGTGGTCATATAATCTGTGTCTACAGGGAAAGTAAGATGTTTTCCCCCAAGCCGATGCTTAATTGTTGTTTGTTGTTGTTATCTAAGATCTACGAACATGCAATCAGTGTCTATAAACTTATTTTTGTTTCAAGCTGAACACTCGTGGCTTTGTTTGCCTCCCATATAACAAGTTCAACAGCACAAAATTAATAGTATCACTTCCATGAAATGAGAGATTATAATGAGCAGAACATGCACCCTGTTTGAATATGATTTACAAATTGCTTATCCCTTCTACACAAGCTGCATCTGCATCTTTACAAACACTGTAAAAAGATCAATGGAATACTAGGACACATCTGATAACCTTCAGTGCCTAACAATTTGTATTTCATAAAAGCAGAATCAGGATTGTCAATAGTATTGAAACTACTGATGTTAAACCTTACGCTCAGACAGTGAAGTATAACACTGATAAAAGAAATATGAAGGAGTGCTATCCCATGCAGTACAGCCTGTGCAGGTGCAAAATTCCAGTAAAACAGACCCTAAAGAAAGATAAAGGTTTTAGATATCTTTGGAAAATGACAAAATATCTACTGAACTTTCACAGTATAAGAGAAAACATACTTTAGGGAAATTAAAAAAGAAAAAAAAAAAAAAAAAAGCTCAGTTCACACTTGGAAAAAGGAGAAAAACATGGGAAAATAATAATAATGATAATAGCAATAATGAAGGCAGGTTCCTGTTCAGGTTGGTAGGCAAGCACTGTCCCTGCCCACCTCACCTTCCCATCTACCCTTACGTAACAGGTACTAGGCTCTACAACACCATAGTCAGAACAATGAAGTAGACGAAAGCCCGTCCCAGTTGGGGAGGGTGCCTAAGGCAAGGCAACCTACCCTCTGCATTGCTACATTGTCTGTCAGGAAAGACAGAAGGGTTACTGTCATGGGGGACTCCCTTTTGAAAGGGACAGAGGGATATGCCGACCAGACCCAACTGACAGGGAAGACTGTTGTCTCCCTGGGGCTCAGGTGAGAGACTTAGCTGAGAAAGTCAAGCGCCTGGTACGGCCCACCGACTACTACCCACTACTGGTCTTTCAGGCTGGTAATGACGAGGTAGCAACAAGAAGTCCAAGAGCAATCAAAAGGGACTTCAGGGCTTTGGGACGACTACTTAAAGGATCAGGGGCACGGGTTGTGTTTACCTCTGTCCTTCCGATAGGGGGGATTGATGCTGACAAGCGGGCTCACATTAACACGTGGCTTCGAGACTGGTGCAACTGACAGAACTTCGGGTTTTTCAATCGCGGGAAGGTCTACGTGACATCAGGCCTGCTGTCACCAGATGGGATGCGCCTCTCTCAGAGAAGGGTAAGGATTTGGGCTCAGCAGTTGTCAGGGCTGATAGATAGAGCTTTAAACTAGAGTTGAAGGGGGAAGAGGATAAAACCAGGCATGTTGGTGATGAGCTAAGGGATGGTGCGCTAGAATCAGAGGGACTGTGTGCCAGTGAGGTCCTTCAGTCAGCTCCACAAGGTGCTGTGTGTAGGGAAGTGCATTTGAAGTGCTTCTACAAAAACACACGCAGTATGAGGAATAAAATGGATGAGCTAGAAGTCTTGGCCCAGTCTCACAGCTACATCATCAGCATAAGTGAAACCTGGTGGGATGAGTCCTGTGGCTGGTGTGCTGCAATAGATGGTTACAGGCTCTTCAGGAGGGACAGGCAGGGTAGGTGAGGTGGCGGGATGGCAATGTATGTGAAGCATGGGCTGGACTACGTGGAACTTCAAGTTGGGGATGGCAAAGTTGAGAGCTTCTGGGTAAGGATTAAGGGATGAACAAATAAAGGGGATGTCGTTGTGGGAATCTATTACAGACCACCCGGCCGGGACGACAATGACGATGATCTATTCTTTGCAGAACTAGGAGATGCCTCGAGGTCAACTTCCCTTGTCCTTATGGGATATTTCAACTTGCCAGACATCATCTGGGATCACCACACGGCTGACACGAGCAAGTCCAGGAGGTTCATAAAGCACCTAGATGATAACTTCTTGGCACAGGTGCTAAGGGAGCCAACTAGGAAAGGTACCCTCCTTGATCTGTTGCTGGAAAACAGAGACGGTCTTGTGGGAGACATGGCAACTGGCGGCTGTCTTGGTCATAGTAACCATGAAGTGGTTGAGTTTAGAATTTATGGTGACAGAAGGAAAACTGCCACCAAAACTTCAGCCCTGGATATGGGGAAAGCAGACTTCAGGTTGCTCAGAGAACTAGTCAACGAGGTCCCTTGGGAAGCTGCTTTGAAGGCACTGGCGTCCATCAGTGCTGGTCAGTCTTTAAGCACTGCCTCCTAAAAGCACAAGATCAGGCAATTCCAAAATATCAGAAGGCAGGCAGGCAGGACAGAAGGCTGGCCTGACTGACTAGGAATCTTCTATTGGAGCTTAGACGGAAAAAGAAAGTGTATGGCTGCTGGAAGGAGGGTCAGGCAATGAGGAAGGAATACAGGGATACTGTTTGTGTTTATAGGGAGAAAATTTGTGGGGCCAAAGCCCAACTAGAGTTGAAGCTGGCCATGTCTGTGGGAGACAACAAAAAAGTTTTTTTTAGATATGTTAACAGAAAAAAGGAGAACCAAAATAAAACATATGTCCGATACTTGACGGGGAAGGTCTCCTCACAGACAATGACATCAGAAAAGCATTTAATGCCTTCTTCACCTCTGTCTTCAATGCTGATGATGGGCTTCAGGACCCAGGGTGCCCTGAGCTGGAGGACCATAATTGTGGGAAAGACAAACTCCCAACCGACCATGAACGTGTGAGGGAATTGCTGTTCCACCTGGATCCATACAAGTCCCTGGGTCCAGATGGGGTTCACCCCAGAGTGCTTAAAGAGCTGGCTGATGTCATCACGGGACCTCTCTCAATTATTTTTCAATGATCTTGGGAATCTGGAGAGGTCCCAGTAGACTGGAAGATAGCAAATGTCCCAATTTTCAAGAAGGGGAAGAAAGAAGACCCTTCTTTCTGTAGCAGTTACAGGCCTGTCAGTCTCACGTCAGTGCCTGGTAAAATTATGGAGAAGATGATCCTTGAAGTTATTGAGGCACACCTGGGGGACAATGCAGTCATTGGTCCCAGCCAACATGGGTTCATGAGGGGTAGGTCCTGCCTAACAAATTTGATTTCCTTTTATGATAAGATCACCCATCTAGTTGACCAAGGGAAACCAGCTGATGTGATCTTTTTGGACTTCAGCAAGGCTTTTGACACAGTTTCCCATAGGATCCTACTGGACAAAATGTCCAGTATACAACTTAACAAAAACATCATACGATGGGTGAGCAATTGGCTGACGGGCAGGGCTCAAAGGGCTGTGGTAAATGGGGCCACATGTGGCTGGCGGACGGTCACTAGTGGGGTCCCTCAAGGCTCCATTTTAGGGCCAGTCCTCTTCAATGTCTTTATAAATGATTTGGATGTAGGACTAGAAGGTGTTCTGAGCAAATTTGCCAACGACACCAAACTTGGAGGAGTTGTGGACTCAAATGAGGGTGGAAAGGCCTTGCAGAAAGATCTGGACAGATTGGAGAGCTGGGCGATCATCAACCACATGAAGTTTAACAAAAGCAAGTGCCGGGTCCTGCACCTGGAACAGGGCAACTCTGGCTTTACGTACAGACTGGGTGATGAGATGCTGGAGAGCAGCCCCGCTGACAGGGATCTGGGGGTTGTG